TATTTGTCGTTTTACCGTACGTTGTGATCGGATGTGGCCTAACACTCAATGACACGGTGTTTATACTGGTTCAGGCAACGTGTCCTACGTCTAGTTTGAGGCAGTCGGTGACTTTATTCCTTAGCCCAGGTGCTTGAAATTTGCTATGGGTTTACAAACGAGTGGGAGTAAGATGGGGGTGTTAGAGGTCCGGTCGGGCTCTGGACTGAAGGGCCGAGTGTGATGGGAGCTCCTACGTGCGCTAAGTTTTGGAACGTATGCTCTATGTAGCTTTAGAGTTCTAGAGATATGAAGCTGTTCGAGTGCTCAGAACGTTTAAAGCTAGCAGAGAGAGTCGGAATGATCTGTTTGTCGTTTTCTCTTAGGAGAGAGCGCATCCTCTCTTATAGATGAAGGGGATGGCCTTACAAGTGAGAGAGAGAGTGTGTGTGCTTTCTAGTCTTGTTGCCCACGCCGTCGGATACAAGATGGTTTGTCGGTGCCCACAATACTATTGATGCTCAGATGCATGTGGTAGGCTCCATCGTGTTCTTCTAGTATGGCAAATGTCGGCGCCTACCATACTGTAGGACCAATGTCGGCGCCCACAATACTGTTCATGTTCTGACATGTCTGGAAGGTTGCAAAGCACCCTTTTGACATGGCCTGACAGTACAGTCCTTTAGATGTGTAGGGTACGGTCCTCGGTATTGCGGTTGACTTGAGTGCCCTGCCCTATCTGCTCTGCCTGATTCTTGGATCCTTACCGAGCGGGCGTCCCCGGCCGGTCGTTCCCAGTTGGCTCTGACCACGCCAATTGGAGAAGAGCCGTAAGCAGTGGTTCGGTGTATTCTCGGTCGGAGAAGCGGGTTGGAGTCGGAAGTGAGCGTCGCCCCTCCTTGGCTAGGCCTTCCGGTCGGAGAAGCGGGTCAGAGTTGGAAGCGAGCGTCGCCCCTCTTTGGCCAGACCTTCCGGTCGGAGAAGCGGGTCGGAGTCGGAAGCGAGCGTCGCCCCTCCTTGGCCATGGCTTCCGGTCGGAGATTGAATCGCTCTTCCGGCCTGTCGTTTAGGTATCTGGGCCGGCCCAGGAGTTGCGTCGTCGTTCGCAACATCGTCTGTTGGGCCGAACTTTTGCTGGGAAGCGGGTCCATTAGGGACCTCGGGTTTATGAACCCAACACATATACTTTAAGAAATTAGCTTGGAGTATGTTTGTACATTATAACGAGACATGTAACTTATTGAACGGTCAACTGGCCGCTGAGGGTTAATGTAGAGCATATACCGAGGACAGCCAATGCAATTACTACCCTTTTGAAAAAAAAGGATTTATAAAACAAAGGAATAAGAAAAATATAGGAATGAAATGCCCTAACACTATAAATGCTACTCCATCCGTTCCAAATTATAAGTCGTTTTGACTTTTTTGGTACATCCATTTTGCTATGTATCTAGACTATGGCCCTGTTCGCTGGTCTGAACTTTGGCTGAAACTAGCTAAAAAACACTGTTAAAAAAATTGAATTGTTGTGAGAGAAAAACACTGTTTCGGCTGAAAAAACAAGCCGAACAAGCCAAATTTAAGACAAGCGAATGGGGCCTATATCTAGATGCAACGAAATGGATGTACCAAAAAAGTCAAAGCGACTTGTAATTTGGAACGGAGGGAGTACATGTTTCAGAATAGAGGAAAGTTTATGAAGATGCCTTTTCGAAGCAATGTAGGAAAAGCATAGAAAACAAAACCATAAGGTTATAGCTGATATTTAGTTTCCTCCCAAAAAAAATTAGACCCCTTTGGAACATAAGATTCTCTAAGCACAGGAATAGGAAGAACATAGGATTTTTAGAGTGTAATGAAACTTGCAATCCTACATGAATCTATAAATGCAACAATTTTTTAAATATAGCCTTTGAATGGAATAGGGCAAAAATACAGGAACCAAAAAGAGATAGATACGGAGGAAAGTTTCTATGAGGTCCAACCTCATGTTAGTTTTCCTTCAAAATTCATATGTTTTCCTTCATAGGGTCCAATCCATTGTTCCAAAGAGATGTATAGGAAACTTTCCTATATGGTTGAAATCCTCTAAAATTCCTATGTTTCCTTTTGTTCCAAGAATGACCCAATCCGTAGGAATTTCAAAGAAAATGTTGGGAACCATTCCTTTGTTCCAAAGGGCTTCATAGGAAATTTTCGTAGGATTTGGATCTTTCAAAATTCCTATGTTTTCCTCCGTTCTAAAGGGGCTATCTACTATAGTTATTATTTTTCTAATAAAAACCATGCCAAATAGTGTCTCTATTGTATAATATGTCTTTTTTTAGAGAATGTAAAATATCTGTATCAAGGTCGTGTACTTCGTCAAGACTATACGTACTAGTTTTTTTTGTTGCATCATGTTGTAAGGCCACGGGGCATAAGCATCCAGCGAGATCAAGTTGGAGGGTTTGGGACGGTACCTTTGACGGTGGAGACTTTACCAAAAAGGTACTCTCTCTCTCTCGTGTAAAAAAAGTAAATATCATTTTAAAGATTAAATTAATCTTAATTTTGATTAGATTTAAAAAACAATATGAATCTTTAGATAGATTTATTATAAAAATGTATCCATCAATTAATCGAATGCTACTTATTATGCATCTGGTATATTTGACTAAATTTATGACTGATCAATATTTTTAAAGCGAGATTTATATTATATTTAGGATAGAGGAAGTAGCTGTAAATGACGAGTTTGTGAGAGGAAGAGCATAATAATAATAATGATATAATTAATGAAAAACGCACCTCAAATCAAATGATGATACTAGAATAGAAAATTTCTAGCAGCTCATTGCCTTCGGGGCACCTCTTCGTTTCGCTAAAAAGTCATACTGAAAAATATTGTTTATTAATTTGTTGTGAGAGAAAAATATTATATCATAGCTCGTAAGCGGTGCTGATAAATTTAAACCCAATCCCCCTCCGACCGCCGACGTGTCCCCGTCATCATATTTTGAGGCCACACAAATGACACAACCACAAAAATCCTGTCCGGACCCCAAGACATCATTTTCGTTCTAGCTAGTACACACAGATCCCGCCATCCCGAGCTCGGCGCGCCCTGCCCCCCTGCCCGGTCCAGAATCTCCGAACTGCCGTGCCCGTCGGCTCGTGCGGCGTGCGCCACAAACTGCAATGATTCTCGGCTCGGCCCACTACAACCCAAAGATTCCGAGGGTGCAGCCACAGCCACTCCAGCGGTGAGAATATACCTGTTGAATCCCCCTCACGAAGCCTCTCCACCGAACTGTGACTGTGAGTGTGTGCGAGCGCTCCATAAATTCTCGAGGATGCAAGGGGCCATCGCCCGCGGGGCGCGGTGCCCAAAGATCCGTCGCCACGTTCGGCTGCCCGGCGGTACGCGTCCGTGTGCCGAGAAGCCTCTGCGGCGGCGACCTGGGTAAACGGTGCAGCAGCGCGCCTGCCATGGGCGAGAGCGCGCGTGACGACCCAAGGCCCGGAGTGGTGCGCGCGACCGGCCAAGGGAGGTCCGCGCTGCGGCCGGTGCTCCCGCGTCGCCGTCCCGTGGCGAGAAGAGAGGGAGCGTGGCCGGCGCCGTGGCGCTGATCGTTGGGACCAGCATCGGGTCCGGCATCCTCGCCGTGCCGCAGCGCACGGCGCCCGCGGTGAGTCTGAGTTCCCTAGCCCCAGCGAGACTAGCCTCAGCTACCATGCATGGCCCGGGCGGCACGTCGTTAGCGTGGAAGAAAACCGCTGGAATTCGTTTCTTCGAGTAGAAGTGCGATGCACTTCACCAAGTTGCAGGCAGCTATATGTCTCCGACAACCGCAGGCAGAGAATTTAATATTTTTTTAAGACCTACGAGACAACTTTTTTATAAATAAGTTTTAAAACGATAGAATATACTTAGATTTGAGTTATACCTTTCCTGACACCCAAAATAAGTCTTTCATACAGATTCTATATTAAGGACTATAGGAATTACATCGAAGACAATTTTGGATTTGGGTTCGTCGACGGGTCTCCTGGAGACAGCCTTACAGAAAGATGCTGCCGTCAAAACAATGTTTTCCTTCTCTCAGCAGCATCGGTGCTGTCAGTACCACTAAACTCTCACAAATGGACCAGCTAACCTCTCTTTCTTTCTCTCTCTCTCTATACTCTCTCTATATCCCTACAGGCTACAACGAATTGAACAGTTAACAGTACTACCAGTCAGTAGAGAACAGCGCATAGCCTTGACAGGCAAGCAAACCATAAGGGCGCGTTTAGTTCAGTAAAGTTTGCACCTGTAAACTTTGCATAGTATATGATTCTTCATTATAGCATTTCATTTATATTTGTGAATTATTGTTCAAATAATGACTAATTAGACTCAAAAGATTTGTCTCGCAAAGTTAAAGCAAACTGTGTAATTAGTTTTTGATTTCGTCTACATTTAGTACTTCATGCATGTCCACAAGTTTGATGTGACAGAGAATCTTCTTTTTACATAGTGTACTTTTGGAGAACTAAACATGGGCCAACTGAATCTCTCAACCCTATAGTTATGAGCATTCAATCGATGGCATGTTGTTCGGTTTTAGTTGGCACGATGAACGTCCGCGTTTAATTCTATCAAGCTAAAAAGTGATACAGTAGCTATCATATCGAATCTTACTATACGTGTATGGAACATTAAATATAGACGAAAAAAAATTAATTACACAGTTTGGTTGAAAATCTCGAGACGAACGTTTTAAGCCTAATTAGTCCATAATTAAACATAAATTGCCAAATAAAAACATAAGTGCTACAGTAACCCAAATTTCGGCCAACTAAACACACGGGCTCAGCCCAGCGTCCCATTTCCCGAACGCGCTTTCGATCGATGATCTGCAAACACCAAACATTTCCCGAACCGAACATACATCTGCATTTATCCAGCCCAGCGTCCCATTTCGTCAGAAAACCCAGCACTGACCGCTGCCAAAATTAATTGACTGTTGCAGGGCTTCGTCCCGAGCGCGGCGTGCATGGTCACGTGCTGGGTGTTCCTGGTCGCGGAGGCCCTCCTCATCGCGGAGATCAACGTCCACCTGCGGCGGCGGCGCAACAAGGACGGCGGTAACCGCCGCGGGGAGCTGGAGCTGGACCTGGAGGTGATCTCCGTGAAGAGCATGGCGCAGGAGACGCTGGGCGAGTGGGGCGGGCACCTGGCCACCGCCACGCACCTGTTCCTGTCCTACACCTCCATGGTTGCCTACGCGTCCAAGTCCGGCGAGGTGCTGTCGCGCCTGGTGCCCGGCGTGCCCGGGCCCGTCTCCGGCGCCGCCTTCACCGCCGCGCTCGCGATGCTCGTCGCCGGAGGCGGCACGGCCGTCACCGACCGGGTGAACCAGCTGCTCACCTTCGTTATGATAGGTATCGTTATGATAGGTATAAAGTACTCTGTAGTCTGTACTCCTAGTAGCATGCTGCTGTCTGCCACGAGCTGCCACTGCCGTTATTTAAGACTGATCATGGGTGCATCAAAGCCGTTTCCTACATCCGCATTAAGTTCACACACACCGATCGGGGAACCAATCTTACTCTAAGGCCCCGCCATGCTGTTTTTTATTCTGAACTGATGCCTTAACATTTCAAGCGTGTCTTTTAAGCCCTTGTTCTTGTTTAATTCCACCCTAATTTCCAAAAGGTTGCTACAGTACCTGTCACATCGAATGTTTGCGGTCCGTGCATGGAGCATTAAATATAGACGAAAAGAAAAACTAATTACACAGTTTGGTGGGAAATTGCGAGATGAACGTTTTGAACCTAATTAGTCCATGTTTGAACACTATTTGCCAAATAAAAACGAACATCAGTAGCTCTAAAATCCAAATTCATGGAACTAAACAAGGGCTAAGTATGCCCTATGCCTGGTATGCAAAGGCGTCCAGCGTCCCATGTCCAAAGCGACGATGTACGGCAAGCAATAGTGTGCCGAAGTAAAGGCAGAATACTAGCATATACGCACCTCGAGTCCTTGCCATGTTCGTGTTCATCACTCTGCTGCTCTGTCGCCTAGCCGTGTACTACTAGGAGACTATGAATCATGAATTCATGAACCTTAGCTAGCTTAAAGAAAAAGGGAAATGAAATGAACTCGGTCTATTGCAACAGGTTTACTGCTGACAATTGAGGTATCAGCAGTGGCGCTCGGCGGTGGCCTGAGCCTGCCAGCGAACGCCAACTGGGAGCAGGTCCCGGCGGCGTTGCCTGTGATCATCTTCACGCTGGTCTTCCACTCTTCCATGACATCGCACCAGGTAGGGCCTTGTTTAGATCACTCCAAAATTCCAAGTTTTTTCACTCTCTCTCCATCACATCAATTTTTAGCCGCTTGCATGGAGCACTAAATGTAGGTAAAAAAAATAACTAATTGCACAGTTTAGTTGGAAATCACGAGATGAATCTTTTGAACTTAGTTGGTCTACGATTAGACAATATTTACCAAATAAGACGAAAGTGCTACTATTCATCGGGTTGAAATTATCTTCAATCTAAACAAGGCCTAGGTACCCGGCCACACCCCACCTCCGATCCAGTGACAGTAAACCACCCACGCCGTACGTACCGACTCTCTCCACGCGAGGAAACAGTTCAGCACCAAAACACGCACGTTCGTTTGGCTGTGACATGTCATAAAAGATCGTAAATTTTCAGCCAAAACAGTATTTTTCTCTCACACAAACCAGCCAGCAGTACTTCTTCACGAACCAGGCACGAAACGAACGAGCCAAACGAACAGGAGCGCCGCTGATCTATCTACTATCTCTCTCAGTGATCTGCGCGTACCTGGAAGGGGATCTCGCGAGGATCCGGCTGTCCATCCTCGTGGGCAGCCTCGTGCCGCTGGTGTCCTTGCTCGTGTGGGACGACATCGCGCTCGGCCTCGCCGCCACGGATCTCGCTGGGTTTGACGTCCTGGACATGTTAAAGACAGAGTAAGGCCACTGTGGTACTAACCACGTGCCTGCATCTCTGTCCGCATCCTGCCTGCCTGCCTCGCTGTTCAATTTCACTTCAGCAACCTGCAGCTGAAACAGGCTTGTTTGGTTTCTAGATGGAGCCACACCGTGCTGGAGACGTTCTCGCTCCTGGCCGTCGGGACGTCGCTCATCGGCACGCTGCTTGGGGCTTCCCAGTTCTTCATCGAGCAGATGACCAATAGCCTAGCCTCTTCACCAGCCCAACAGCACGTACGTATGGTTCTGCTTCACTTCAAAAACAAAAGCTAATGAAATGGTCTCAAGGTTAATTACAATCGATCTGTAGACTGTTCGTATCGTATCGTGGATTATTTACTGCTGGCTGGTTTGATGTGAGTGAAAAACACTGTTCCCGGCTGGAAATTTACGATCGTTTACGAGCAAGCGAACAGGCGTTGCTGGGTTTCCCAAGGAAGATGGATCGGAGCAGCAGCATCCTGGTGCTGAATCGGTTCTGGAGAAGAACAGGCTCAGCTACGCTGCTACCGGAATCGTAGTTGTCCCGACCATGCTCATCGCAGCTACCGTCCCCAACTCGTTCTGCATAGCTACTGACATCGCGGTAAGTGCGCACCAAAACACGCCTGGCATCGTAGTCAAGCGTGGCATCCCACTCTGCATTGACCACTGACCTGACGCACTGCTGTCCTGCTCCTTCCTACACGAACGTTCAGGGCGGCTACTGCATGGCCATCCTGTATGGTGTCCTCCCTCCTCGTCCAAACTGTCCGTCGGGTCTGCTCGTTTGAATTTATCAACCGGTTTATCAACTATATAGTATTTTTTTCACAACAAAACAACTTCAACTAATTTATTAGCCGATTTTAATACCAGTCGAACGGGCCCAACGACAGGGGAAAAGAGGACTTGACCAGTGCAAAGCCTGTCCTGGTTGGGATGGGGGTGTTCTCGGTCCTCTTGGTCTTTGAGCAAATCGTCCAGGATTTTCTCAGTTTAAATGCGTCTCTCGTTTCGTAGACTAGTGTGGAGTAGCGCAGAAAGATCAGCTGCGCCGCCGATGTTGAACTCTTGCATTAACTACGGGTTCATGCCGACTCAAGACGATTAGGCATAGGCTATCTCCAACAACAACATCCAAAATACAATACCTATTTGTCTTTTAGATAGTGTTACAGATAAAATGTTCAATATCTATTCGACGTCTTGTCCAACAACCAGATTAAAAAAAATACTTTTTGTAAATAGGTTTTTAGGAGAGAGGATGTTCATATTTAGCTTGTGTCTCTCAAGCAACCCAAAATAGATTTTCCGTATAGACATTATGTTGAAGACTAATTTTGGATGTCTTACTCTCATTTTAGATTTGGCTGACCATATGTGTTTCTCGATGGAGACCGTCTTAGGCCAGGCCATGTAAATACTACTAGTGCTGTAGCACTCAATGCACGAACTGAACTCTGAAAGTATGGACCATGAAACAGACTAGCACTAGCTTATCGTCAAACTGCAAATCAAAATTCACTCCAGGTAGTCGTCAGGTTGTGATAAAAAAAGGTAGTCGTCAGGTACGATGGCAGCGCGGCACGCATGCAGTTGAAATCTTGAGAGAGGCCTTTTTTTTTTTACAACAACTGAGAGAGGCCTTTCAAATGTCCCTGGCGCCTGTAGAAGACGAAAGCGCACGCCGGCAAAGGCAAGCTACTCACCCGGTCCGCCGGTCACTCACTCCGGTGCCCCTCTCTGCGGTTGCAGAGCACGGTGATGATGCCACCGCGACCGCATCCGCTACGCGCTACCCGGGAGCACGGCGGCTGGCCACAAGCGGGCCTCGCGCAGCGCTGGTAACGTGCACATGATGGAGCAGGGGGTCCATGGGTGCACGCCCACCGTGGGCCAGGTCTCGGTTGCTCGGCGTTGTTGGACCGGAAGTAGAATCGCGGCTCCATGCCCGCGACGCCGCGAAGCAATAGAGCCGAGGGCGGCTTCCAGAAGATGGGCCGAGCTGATGGTGCCAATGCAAACTAGACGAGGACTAGGGTGGTGGCCCTGAGCCCATGTTTGGGCTCTTGGGCCTTGTCGGTTTAGTCCCATATCAAAAGCGTCAGCTATGGGCTTGAGCTGCGTCGCTCTCCTCAATCTCTCTCTGTTGCCTCTTCCCTGTCATCAAAATCAACCAGGGACCCCGGACCTGGCATGATTGAATGGTACTACTACCCTCTATCATCAGGCACTAGCAGTTTGGTAGGAGTACATGTCAACAACAGGTCCTCGAAAGATCTAAAGGCTTACTGTACCCTACAGCCCAAGAGCTGAAGAGGGTGAACCCTGCCTCCTACTGACCAACACAGGCACTCGCAGGTTTTGGCCTGTACCTGCACCGAATTTATCGATGCTTGCAAAGTTGCAAAACCGATACGGGTGGGGCTTTGTAGAGAGTACGGGCTGTATGTATCATCGCAGTAAAAAATTCTATACATCAACCAGGCAAACGCGTTTTTTTTTTTTGAATTTGTTCTGATTCCACAACTGAAAACCGAACCACATCTCCGTGGACGCGGTGATTTTCTTCGCATTGCTCTCTGCACTCTCACTCTGTATACAAATACATCGATTAGTTTACGCACACGTGAATTCAGGAATCTGTTCTTTTGTCATCGCACTAACCACTGACTCACTGAGCACCTTTGACGTTTCCACCGTCCGCCGATCAGTTCAGGGCTATTTTTTTGAATAGATTAAGGGCTCGTTCGGTTCAGCTGAAACATGGCCAGGATTAATTCTGGGAATAACGAATCCAGCAGGGAATATTTTCAGGGAGCCGTTCCCCTTCAACCAAACGGGCCCTAACGGGGATTGGGGAAGGGGTAAACGGTAGAGCGGGCATCTTGGCGGCGGGACCCTTGTGGTTTGTCTCTGCTGTCTGCTTCCTTCCTGCCATCGTCGGTGCTGCTGCTGCAAACGGACGTGTGACACTAGCTACTAAATATCTTAAGGAACGTGTCTAGCCTTTTCAGTGACTACCATCTTGTCGGCTATTGGAAAAGTACTTGCCCTGAATTTCCTTGCTCAGTGGATCTCGACTACGACAGTACGACCACCACCCAACGTGTATCATTTATTCATGTGTATATGTGCTGTGTTGCATTGCTCGATTTATCATCGAGATGTTCATTTCTGTTCTCGGCTTTTGTTCCAATACCAGGACATTCAAGTTTTGTAGCGTTTCGACACAGTGATTTAGCCGAGGGGACGCAGCTTGCTCTAGATCAGCAAGTTTACACCTTGATTTCTCTACCGCTGTAAGAGACACAGAGGAACTAGCTCGTCATATGGTATGCAGCAGACCTTCGGCTGCTATCGTTGGTACAGTACAATATAGCACCAAACTCAATATTGGCACCATCCATTTAATCATGCATTCCCGGAATACTCATTCTTTGGTTATGCGTGATAGAATTTACTGCACCTCTAGCGTAGATCAGTAGGTAAATACTTAGTTTAGATATAATGACTTACTGATGTACCTCCCTAAACCGTGTCATGGCCGAGGCGCCGGTGACATAGTAGCCACAGCGGGTCGGAGTAGAGGTAGCCGTGACGCGCCCGTTGGGTCGTCGTAGTTAGAAGCAGTGCATGTGCGGTGCTGTGGCGGCGGTGAAGGCAATGGAGCTTCCCGTCGCTCACAGCGTCCCTCTCGATCGGTCTAGGGATAGGACATCGCTGAGGGACTGGCGGCTACGGTAAACCTCGTACCTTGCGTCCCGGCCCCCACCTCCTCTTTATAGTGCTGCGTGACGGGGGCCCATCAACCAGGAGAACGGTTGGGCGCCCCCGATCAAGACGCGGATCAAAGGCCCAATTGACCGTTGGGCCAACTGGTGGAGATCAATCTAACATTCTCCCCTTTGATCTCACCTTATGACTTAAACTTAACTTACTTTATCTTTTTCCTATTTCATCGCAGATCAGTGTATAGAGCATGCCTCATCGTCATGGTCAGTTGCCATTAGATTAAACAGCTACAATGTACCTCTCTGTTTTGAAACAGATTCTCAACTAGGCCCTTAGTATTCAAAAATCATAGGCTTTTTCGTAAACCCATGTTGATTGTGTGTTCTCTGAACGTACTGGGTGGTTAGCCTTTGGTAAGCGGATCCGCAAGTACTTACTTGGTACTCATATGCTCAATGCTTTTAAAATGATTCTGGATTTTCTCCTTTACAACATATAACTTAATATCAACGTGTTTGGCAGCACACTCGACCTGTTGTCTTAGGAGTTAACTACTTTAAATAGTTATTGCTGTTGACTACCATTGTTAAATTCAGGTACTAATTTCTTTAACCTCATTTTACCTGTTCCTTAAGCCTCATGTCAAACTATACTATGGTATGCATTACTGATGACACCACAACTGTTTCTTTGGAGCTTTTCCACAAGAATACTCTAACTACGAGTGTTAGCAACTACCGTGGATTTCACTACACATCTCGCCAAGACTTAACATTTGTACCCTCAACTATTTGAGAGTACTTGTTCTTTCTTACTCAGCATGAGGGCTATGATATTTTGCAAAATTGCAAGACATTCTCAACTCCATTCCGATGATCGATATCTGGACTGGACTTCTGCCAAAATATCCCAAATACGTAAAGTACGTCAGGGTAAGTTCTTAGTTGTACATGTACACTCATCAAGCTTCCAACAGCTGAAGCATATGAAACCATGTTCATTTGATCGATCTCATATCGGTTTCTGGAACACTTAAAGTTCCTAAATCTATTACCCTTGACTATAGGAAAAGGCGTAGGTTTACTCGCATGCATACTTTATTTCTTTAGAATCTTTTCTAAGTATGCCTTTGCGATAGTCCTAATACCCCTTTTCTTCTATCTCGATAAATTTTTACTTCACCAAGATCATTTATATTGAAACTTGAGGACAAGAACTTCTTCTCCAATGACAGATTAACATCACTACTAGTGACTAGAATGTCGTCTATACACAAGATGTAGAAAATGAATTTTTTATTCTTGAACTTCGCACAAACGCTATTGTCCTTCTCATTTTCTTTAAACCCAAACTTTCTTATTATTTCATCAACTTCAAATACTACTGTCTAGAGACTTGTTATAACCCATAAATGGATTTCTACAGGCGGCATCCCATACATTCTTTTTCTTCCACGATAAAACCTTTGGGTTGTGCCATGTAAACGTTTCTATACAAATCCCTGTTGAGAAATACCGTCTTTACATCCATCTGATGTTACTCTAAATCGTAATATGCCAATAACACCATTATGATTCTAAAAGAATCCTTGCATAAGACTGGAGAGAAAACTCTCATTGTAATCTATTAATCCTCTTTGCGTAAAGCCTATTGCTACAAGTCGTGCTTTATATCTTTCTACATTTCCTTTGGAGTCACATTTTATTTTGTAGACCCAGTTTTGGATCCATTTGAAATTTCTTCTAAGTCCGAAACAACGTTGATATTCATCGAATTCATTTTAACTTGCATAGCTTCTTGCCATTTAGACGAGTAAACGCTTCTCATGGCTTTTTCAACTGAGGTGGGATCATCCTCCATTTGAATTTCTTCACTAACATAGACTTCATAGTCATCAGAAAAAATTAGTTTACTAATTCTTTGAGACCTTGTGGGGCCTCAGCTACTGGCACTTTCATATGGAGCTGTTGTAGCTCTTCATTACCAAGAGACAATTGATTTTACATTATTCATCTTCTTCGAAGAGCCAATAACAGGTGTTGTATAAGTCATACAACATCAACATGTATTAAGAAATTCGTTGTTTTTGGATCACTAAAGTGGGCACGCAGTCCCGCTTCTCTTCAAGTCATAGGTCTCTACATATCATGCTCCCCCAGATCATCCCATCTTCTACAAAGATAGAGTATCTTCCAATTTCTTATTTGGGTTCAATCTGTTAAAACCTTATATGGCGCTTTAAGCACCGCTTTAATATTGTCGGTGCGAAAAGTGACCAACTAGTAAATATTTGTCGTTTT